GGAGAGCCTTTCTGTAACACAGTGGATGCCTTATACTTCCAGGTACATAAGGAGAGGGGATGGGGAAGAGGCCCTATCTCATACAGTGGGGGCCTTATACTTACGGGTACTGGGAGGGTGGGGTTTGAAGAGGAGGAGAAGCACTATTGGGTTGTGTGTGACAGCTATGTGACTCGGGCGCAACTTCCCTCCCTCAGGGAGAGGCGAGAAAAGTTCAACATCGTGTGGAACCCCAATGGCACCGTGACCTACAAACAGAACCGGACGTTCCACTTTATCCCAGAGATGTCCAAGGGTAGTGAGACGGACATGATCACAACAGTTAATCCTTTGTTGCCGGTACGTAAAGATCTTATTGTACATAGACGAGTGGTCATGGTCATAACACTTGCCTGAGTCATTTTTATAATAGTAATGATGATGCTGATGATAATAATGATAATAATAATGATAATTATAATAATTAAATAATAATAATATAATGTTGGTGGTGATGGTGTTGATCATAATGATGATAACAATGATGATAATGATAATAATGATAATAAATATAATGATAATAAAGATCACTTCTATATATCACAAGAGAAAAAAGCTTCCTTTCTGTGCACTAATCATTATACTAGCATGTCCCTACTGTTTCTGATGTTGTTTCAGGCAAGAAGAGAGAACAAACATCAGTTGGTACTTTACTGGGGAGACTCTTCCCCTCCCCCCTTCCCAATCACTGAACTAACAAGCTCCCTCTAGTGCTGTTTCAGGTGATAGCACAGAACATCAAATTATACTTTACAGGAGAGACCCATTTTCTTTCTTTATACTAACAAGTCCCTACTCTCTCTGATCTAGTTTCAGTTGATAGCAGAGAACATGACTTGACAGCATAGACAAGCCTGTCTCTGAACTAACAGTAACAAGCTCTGTCTAGTGTTGTTGCAGGTGATAGCAGAGAGGATGAAGTTGTACTTTACAGGGGAGACACCCCCCTCCCCTCCCCATTCTGTACTAAAAAGTGTTCTTTCTGGGGTTGTTTCAGGTGTTAGCTGAAAACATCAACTTATACTTTACAAGGGACTTATGCATATATATCTCTGTACTATCAAGCGCTCTCTCTATTGTTGTTTCAGGTGATAGCAGAGAACATCAACTTGCACTCTACAGGGGAGTCACACCTATATCTGTATTAACAAATTCTCTCTTTATGGTTCTTTCGGGTGATAGCAAAGAACATGTTTTTATAGGGCAGTTATGCCTTTCCCTGTACTTACAAGTGTTCTCTCTCTGTCATTGTTTCAGGTGATAGCAGAGAATTTCAAGATTTACTTTACAAGGAAGTTTTGCCTAACTTTGCACTAACAAATGCTCTTTCTATGGTTGTTTCAGGTGATAGCAAAGAACATCAAGTTGTACTTTACAGGGGAGTTACACCTATATCTGTACTGACAAGTACTCTCTCTCTCTCTCTATGATTGACTCAGGGGATAGCAAAGAATATCAAATTGTAATCTACGGGGGAGTCACACCTATCTGTACTAAGGAGTACTTTCTCTATGGTAGTTTTAGGTGATAGCAAAGAACATCACTTTACAGGGCAGTTATGCCTTCTCCCTGTTCTAACAAGTGTTCTCTCTCTGTCATTGTTTCAGGTGATAGCAGAGAACATCAAGTGGCTGCCATCTGCTGTCAAGGATATCATGACTACCTTCCTCCAGGTGGGCCTCAAGGAGAACCTGTTCTTCACGCGACCAGTCAAGGACATCCTGTGGGGCTACGACGACCCTGCTCTCAAAATGTTGCAGAAAATCCTCCCCTCCTGGTTCACTAGGACCAACATTGGATACTTCATCAGGGTGTGTTGTCATTTTTATGTGTATGTGTGTGTATATGTGCATGTGTATTTGTTTCGATGAGGGCTTGAAAAGGCCTACATTTTTTTAAAAAGTGGTGTGTTCATGTGTGTTTTTGTATGCTTTTTATTCTTTCGCTCACACTCTCTCTCTCTCTCTCTCTCTCTCTGTGTCTGTCTCTGTCTCTCTTTCTCTCTCTCTCTCTCTCTCTCTCTCTGTCTCTCTCTCTGTCTCTCTCTGTCTGTTTCTCTATCTCTCTCTTTCTCTCTTTCTCTCTCTCTGTCTCTCTGTCTCTCTGTGTTTCTCTCTGTCTCTTTCTCTCTCCACAGAAGAACTACACAGACGATGGCGTGTACTCAATACTGATCGGTGTCACTATTAATATCAACCACCCCTCTCTCTCTCAGTCTCTTTCACTCTCTGTCTCTCTTAATCTTTAAAACAAATCTCTCTCTCAGTCTCTCTCACTTTCTGTCTCTCTTAATCTTTTACACAATCTCTCTCTCAGTCTCTCTCACTCTCTGTCTCTCTTAATCTTTTACACAATCTCTCTCAGTCTCTCTCACTTTCTCTCTCTTAATCTTTTACTCTCTGTCTCTGTCTCTCTGTCTCGGTCTCTGTCTGTCTGTCTGTCTGTCTCTCTCTCTCTCTCTCTCTCTGTGTCTCTCTCTCTCTCTCTCTCTCTCTCTGTCTCTCACACTCTCTCAGTCTCTCACACTCTCTCAGTCTCTCACACTCTCTCTCTTCCTCCATAGAAAAACTACACGGATGATGGCGTGTACACAATAATGACCGGCGCCACTAACATCAACCTTCTCGGGATAATCACAGAGTACAACGGTCGCAGGTCGGTGTTTGGGGGGGTTATCTCATTCAGTGGGGGCCTTATACTTATGGGTACATATAGAAGGAGGGGAGAAGAGAACCTATTTGACATGACAGTGGTGGGGGGCTTACCCTTACAGGTACTGTGTGGGGGGAGAGAGTGAGGGTCCCTCTCTGATGCAGTGGTGGGGGATTTAAAAGTACATATGGGGAATTTGGAGGAGTTAGGGGTGGGTTAGGGGGAGGTGCTATTTCACACTTTGGAGGTTGTATACTTATTGGTGATTTTGGGAGGG